CAGGGATTTTGGGATTTTTCCGGGATTTGGGAACGGGATGGAAAATCCCAGGATGGGAAGGGAGAATCCCGAGGGAGCTGGGAAGGGGCTGATCCCGGAGAAAAGGGGGATCCAGGGGGGATTTGGGATCTGCCAGGGGGGATTTGGGATCTGATCCCAGGGAACGGGGCCGGGACGAGAGGGAACGGCCTCGAGCTGTGCCAGGGGAGGCTCAGGGGGGGAATTTGGGGAAATTCCTCCTGGAAAAGGGGAAAAAACGAAAAAATCCTGCCTGGGGAGGGTTGGATCTCCATAACTGGGAATGTCCAGGGAATTCCCAGAATTTGGGCTGGGATCGGGCACCGGCAATCCCAGAGCTCTTTCCCAGCATCGGGAATGCCGAGATTTGGGGATTTGGGGATTTTGGGATTTTGGACAGCTCCACCCCATATTTCCCCAAATCCACCCGCAGCCTCGCAGGTTCAGTACTTCATGGTCCAGAACAGTATCCCACCAGAATCCCGGGAGCCGGTGAGGTTTGAGGTGAATTCCGCTGCTTTTGGGACCAAATCCCAGCTTTCTGAGGGTCCCTCCGTGTCCCCAATGTCCCCTTTCCCCTCCCAATTTCCCTCCAATTCCCAATTTCCCGTTTTTTTCCTGGATTTTTCCAGGCCCACCACGGTTGTCCCATCTTGACCCCAATGGTTGGGGTGTTCTGGGGCTGCTTTGGGGATGCTTTTGGTTCTGTTTTGGGGTCTGATTTTGGGCTGGTTTTGGGTTAGGTTTGGGATCTGTTTTGGTTTTGTTTTGGGGTCTGATTTTGGGCTGGTTTTGGGCTGATTTGGGATCTGTTTTGGGGCTGGTTTGGTTCTGTTTGGGGTCTGGTTTTGGGGCTGGATTTGGGGCTGGGTTTAGGATCTGTTTTAGGGCTGCTTTGGGGGTGCTTTTGATTCTGTTTTGGGGCTGGTTTGGGCCTGGTTTTGGGCTGTTTTGGGATCTGTTTCGGGGCTGCTTTGGGGGTGCTATTGGTTCTGTTTTGGGTCTGTTTTTGGGGTGTTTTGGGTCTGTGTCAGGAAACGGGGGTGACGCTGGACCCCTTTTGTGTCCCCAAGCCACAGGAGCAGCCCAGAAGCATCTACAGCCTGATGGAGGCGTGACCCGGGGAGCCCCAGGTGACCCCCAAGTGACCCCAGGTGTGTCCAGGTGACTCTCAGGTGTGCCCAGGTGTGTCCAGGTGACCCCCGGGTGACCCCCGAGTGACCCCAG